TTGCATATTGGTAGAGAAAAGGCATTTGCCAGATCAATAGTTGTGAAGGCAACTTTAAGCCCCTGGAGTCATCCAGAACCTCTTTCCCCAGCAGAAGCCGCCCCTCTGAGGGGTAAAACACTCTGCTTACCACGACATTCCTTCTGCCCAGGATGGGTAACGTGTGCATCTCGGCTAGGCCTTGTCCCCTAAGCTCCATTACGCTGGGCATTCATCTCCGCTGAAGTCGGGGAGGCCCAATGGCAGCGGCTCCCAAGGCCATGCAGCCTACAGGGGACAGGGGACAGCCACTACAGCAGTGTTCAGGGCTGCACGTGCCCTCCAAACTAATCTATTTCTCGATGCCTTTCTAACAAGAGTGTTCTCCTCTCTAGTATGAGTGTGTGCGTTTGTGCGCACGCACAGTGTTGCACACAATAAACCCCCTTCAACCTTCCCGCACCCCTAAGCCTTTGGGTCCCTCCCTCCACATTATACCAGGGGGGGTCTGGCAATTCAACCTCATTGAATTTAGGCCACTGTTGAGCCCAGGGCTCAGTCAACCTACCAAACAAAACCTTCCTCAAGCTGCTCAGTCCAACACCTCAAATCCAGCCCATATGGGTAAATTTGATCCAGTCCACTGTGGTGTCCCACCCTCTTTGGCTGGATTCTCGAAGATGCCATCCCATATTTATTCCCCAGGTTTATGCCAATTATGTAAGCAACGCCTTGCGATTCTTTTGAAGTACAAGCAGAATCCCTCAGGGTCAGATTTTACTTGTCCACCCAGAGTTAGAGGTCCAGGAGGCAGTGAGGGACCTCCTTGCAAGGCAGCGACCTCAGGTGAGGTTATGACAGGTCTTCAAGTGATGGCTGATTGATCAGGGTGTCCTTTGGAATGAAATTAACTAAAAAGCTATTTGGCCCATGTGACAAGAAATACTCTAGGTCTGGTGTTGAAAAGCCTGAGTTGCGATGTCACAATAGAGTCACATGTCACCCAGTCTCCAGACCTAGGTCATTCCTAGATGCAATGCTCTAGATTGAAGGCATTATGATCCCTCTTTTTTTTTTTTTTCTTTTGGTGAGGAGGATCAGCCCTGAGCTAACATCCATGCCAATCCTCCTCTTTTTGCTGAGGAAGACTGGCCCTGAGCTAACATCCCTGCCCATCTTCCTCCACTTTATGTGGGATGCTGCCACAGCATAGCTTGACAAGTGGTGCGTTGGTGTGCACCTGGGATCCAAACCCGGGCTGCCAGCAGCAGAGCCCGCGCACTCAACCGCTACGCCACGGCGCCGGCCCCCATTGTGATCCCTCTTAAAGGACCAGCCCTGCCACAAGAATAGTCATAGATCTGCCTCCAGGGGCCTGCCGCCATTTTCCTGGGGGGAAGGAAACACCAGATCTTTCAATGACTAAGAGAGATTGGCTCTGAGTTGAGGCTAATCCCCAAACTCACCGTGGTCCACAACAAACTGGGGTTTTATGTGGTCGGATCACAAGGCGAGTTTTGGCTCGTTTGTCTCGTGGTGGCTCACTGCCTGTGCACACCTACTCTGGTTATTTCCGCAGTCCTAGCTGGTGGCTGGAAGAGACAGACTCAGCACCTGGCAGAATCCCCACATTGGCTCTCCTCCCCATAGGGTGAGAACCCTTCAGGAAGGAAGGTCCAGGCAGCAGCCCATGTGATATCCCTTCCCCGCCAAGACGGCAAACCAGACTAGCACCACATACCCGGGGACCTGCAAAGAGTAGTGCCCCCATCGAGGACTTGAAAGACGCAGGAGTGGTGATTCCGTCACAATCCGACTCAGCTCACCTGTGTGGGCCATGCAGATGGCAGCCGGTCATGCAGAGTGAGGTGATGATCCTGCACAGTTGGGCTGTGACTCTAATGGCAGCTGTTCATTCAGGTGTGTTCTCTGACCTGGAACAAGTCAACTCAGTTCCTGGTACAAGTGTGACAAGATTTTTAGCTTCATTTGAGTCCACGCAAACAACCCCATTCCAAGCCTCCTTCCCAGGCAGTGCCAGAGCTCACATATGACACTGAGTGGATCTATGAATTCAACATAGGTTGTAATTCTGAAATACACACAATTAAATTTTGTGTCTGAGTTCGGCTATATTTTCCCTTTGGCTACAAAGAGTCAGAAATTCTTTTAGGGCCAGCCTAGAAGCTCTCTGATTCTCTGTCTTGAGCTAAGGATATAAAGCCCTGAGCCAGTCATTTTCTTTTTACAATCCCTGCATTGGTCGTAAGCAGCCATGTCCATAAGGTCACCATTGCTGCCGTTGACTGCCCATTGGAATGGCCACTTGGTCTCCCAAGTCACCAGCTTCAGTCGACACCTCATTTCAAGCAACCACAGGTGACAGTTTAAGTAAACAATGCCACTGCCTACCATAGATTACCAGCGCCCCATGGAAGGAGCTCGGCTCTGTGTTCCAGACCAAAGTCAGAACCGAATCAAACCCCGAGTCCCAACTTTGAGAGTCTGTTTCTTGGGCCCCTTTTGATACCAATCACCGTATCAGCCAGAGTTCAGACAGGAAACAAACCACACTAGATATTTCACACAGGGGACTTAGTTATGCTCGTTTTGCAAGGCTCGGAGAGCAAAAGTGGATGTTGCAGAAACTCAGAGATTAATACTTGCCGGAAGCCGCTACCACCATAGGGCTGGGGGAAGCCAAGGGAAGAGGTGCTGCCCGAAGAGTCCTGGAGCTAACAGGATGGTGCAGCAAGGCCGGCGTTGGGAGCGCCACAAGAAACCCACGAGCTCCCCAGTCACGGGCTGCCAGCTGCATCTCTGCAGACCTCTGACCTGACCGTACCCTGCCTGCCTGGGCAGCCCCTGAGGTTCAGCCAGTGTCTGGTGGTCTCTGCTCTGCCCCTTTGGCCCGGGCACCAGTCCTCCTTGTCTGGTGCCCCAGGCTCAGCAACACCTCCAGGCCTTGGCGCTCAGTGGTCCCTTCTGCAAGGAAGGCCTCCTCCCCTGTCCCCCCCCGGGAACATGCAACCTTCTAGGCACTGGCTCCAAGTGGGGGCGCCAGCCTGCAGCAGGCGCTCAGCAAACGTGCCAGAGAAAGCAGAGCTCGGGAGTCTCCTGCCCTTGTCCCACTCAGCAGGTGCCCAAGCCCTGCAGTCCCTGTCTCTGTGACGCTCTGACCCCTCCCGCCGCCCCTCTGCCCCCTGCCTCCCCACCTCCTACCGTCCTGCTTCCCAGCCTTGGCACTGGCTGCTCCCTCTGCCCGGAATGCTGTCCCCTGGTTATCTGCATCTCAACCTCCTGGCCCCCTCAGATCTCTGCCCCCCAGGAAGCCTTCCCTGACCCTCCAACGCCCGTGGTCATTTGTGGCCCATCTGCCCCCGGTCTCCACCAAGTCCTCAGGATTTTTCATCTTCCCAGCACCTACCCTCTGCCTTCTCTGTCTCCCCCGACCAGCCTGGGCTCCAGGTGGGCAGGGCCTGGGTCCATGTTTTCCCAGTCTTCTCTGTGTCTGGCACACAGGAGATGCTCCATAAATGCTTGTGGAATGAGTGGGTGAGGAGGAAGCCAGGTCAGGTGGCAGGTGGAAGTTGGGAGATTTCCGGGGGCCCTCAGCTGGAGATGGGGAGCCTGGACACCTGGGATGGGGACCAGACCCCAGGTGGGGTATGGCAGGACTTCCTCAGGGTCCAGTGAGAGAACACTGTGTCCTCACCCTCCCATTCTCTCCCATCAGGCTGTGCCTTAGGGAGAGGGGGAGGCCATGAGGAGACCGGGGGCGGGGGGGTGCCAGGGGGAAGGGAGGCCCTGGGGAGGGGGGAGGCCTGGCCTCTCGGCAGCGGGCTACAGCCACACGAATGACCACAGGCAGCTCAGACAACTGTCCACAACCTAAGCACAGGTCTGAATTAAATGTCCTGGGAGCAAATCTGGCTCCAATCCATGGTGGGTCACACAGTGGAGAATTGACTGGCGATGGAGGAGGAGGGATGACAGCTCCCAGAAAGAGCCAAGATGAGCCTCCAGAAAGCCCCCACGATGCCAACTATAGAACATCCAGATGCAGGCAAATCCCATCCTGGCCATCACACTCTGGGTGGGGTGTGATGGGGAAGGGTTCACTGGGCTTTGGGGTGGGCTGGGGTCCTGCCCATGTGACCTCAGCTGACCAATGGCAGGTGGGGCTCAGCGTCTCCTCACAGAAAAGGATCCCAGCCGTTTTAGGAGGAGATCAGAGAGCACACAGAGAGGGAGGCGAGGGGAGGACAGCCCCCGCCTGGCCTCACCTCCTTCACGTCTAACACAGGAGCCACAGTAACACCACCTACTGCCTAAGTCCCTGCACGCAGATCCCTGGGAACACCACAGCTGTCGCCTCCCAATTTCTATTATTTATTTATTACATACTATTTTATTATTATTTATTATTAATTATTATTCATAGACAAATCATTAATTTTATATTCTTTATTATTTTAATATATTCATTATGATATTTTAAATATTTAGTATTTTTGTTATTAAATTGTCATTTATTATATTTTTATTTTTAATATTTAGTTGTTTTATTACTTCTATCATTAATTTTATTTATTATTTTCACTTTAATCATTTTATTACTTAGTAATTTTATTAATTATTTTTCCATTCTATTATTTATTTTTCATTTTATTTCTTTATTTAAATGTATCTATTACTATTTATTACATTACTTGTTTTAATATTTATTGTATCTTTATTTTTAAAATTGTACTTATTTTTTCATTCAAATCATTTTATTATTCATTATTAATTTTACCTATGTTATTGTTTGCTATTTTTATTATATCATTTATTTTTTAATTATCATTTTTATTATTTACTATTAACTTAGTTTATTAGTTACTCATAATTATTGATTATGGTTATTGCTGAGGCTCCCAAGGCCACGGCAGTTCGCCCTTTGTCCCCAGCGGCTGCGTGCAGCCCTTCAGGGGGTACAAATAGGCGTGAAGAGGTCAATGCCCCGCTCCCCTCTCCGGTCTTGCCCCCGCAGACACTGCCCCAGCTGGAGCAGTGGACACCATGTCGCTGCTGGCCGCCCTCCTGCTGCTCGGGGGTGAGGCATGGGGCTGGGGTCCCCGGGCGGGCGGGGTGGGAAGCACAGGACCCGCCTCACCTGCGCATCTCCACAGGTCTGTCACTGCACCCCACCACCGAGGCGGCCGTCGGTGAGTGCAGGGGCTGGGTGGTGGGCACCCGCAGGGCTGAGCCCCTGGCCCGTGCCCAGCTCTGATCTGGCCCCACAGTATTCGACCCCCGGCCGCACCTGTGGGCAGAAGCTGACTGGCAGCTGGAGCCCTGGACCAACTTGACGCTGACCTGCCAGGCCCGCCTGTGGACCCAGGACTTCCAGCTCTTCAAGGATGGGGTGGCCCAGGAACCTGTGCACCTTGGCTCACCCGCCAACGAGCACCGGTTCTCACTAGGAGCCCTGACCAGTGACACCCAGGGCCTCTACCGCTGCCGCTCTGGCATGGACAGTGGATGGACGGTGCTGGGCAACCTGGTGGAGGTGACCGGAGTAGGTGAGTGGGGGTTTTTGTGGGGCCAGCGGCTGCCGAAGAGGCCTCCCTCCTCCACTCCTCGCCCTCCTCCTTCTCCTCTTCCGGCCCCTTCCAAGCAGCCAGGTGGCTTTGGGCAAGTCACTTGATCTCTCTGAGCCTCAGTTTCCCCCTCTGTAAAATGAGGGTGATGTTTGTACTGACCCCAGAAGGTTGTGAGGAATAAATGACTGAGTCCCCAGAAAGTGCTTATGGCCGGCCTGGCACACAGTAGGGCCATTGCTATGTCTTGCTCTTGTTTTATGCCCCTGCCTCCCTTTCCCCATCAATGCCTTCCATCTCCCCATCTCTCTCACATTTTCATGAGCGTCGAGGCCCAGGTCAGGCTGGGCCATCCACGTCTCCTAAGTATGCAGAACCTGCCATCAACCTTGCCCCCCCTGCAGAGTCCCTACCCCCACCCTTGCTCTCAACTGAGCCTGTGTCCTGGATCACACCGGGCCTGAACACAACGCTGCGGTGCCAAGGGGGCCTTCGGGGTGTGACCTTCCTGCTGAGGCGGGAAGGTGATGACAAGTTTCTGGAGGTGGCTGAGGCCCCTAAGGACGTGGAGGTCACCTTCCCAGTCCACGGGGCTGGCAACTACAGCTGCAGCTACCGGACCCACGCAGCGGGACACCCCTCCCAGCCCAGTGCCACTGTGACTATTGAGGAGCTGGGTGAGTGTGTGGACCATCCCAGAGGGCTTCCAGAGGTAGGAGGCTCCTGGAGGACAGAGCTGCGTCTACCTTGACCCCCCCAACCATGCAGACCCCTGCTCAGGACTGGGTCTGGGAAACAGTGGCCACACAGTTGCCTGGATCACACCGGGCCTGAACAAGCACTGCTGTGCCGCGGGGAGACTGGGGATGGGCCACAAGGCAGGGGTCTGGAGGCTGGGCTGACCGTAGCTCTCCCAGGGAATGGCCCCACAGCTGGTGGCCGGACTCCCGCTAGCGCCCCTCCCCGCCCCGCAGCCGCGCCCCCGCCGCCCACGCTGCATCTCGAGCACGCGTCCGCCGGGGTCCTGCGCCCCGGCGCGAGCCCCACCCTCGAATGCGTGGCGCCCCTGGCCGGCGTGGACTTCCAGCTGCGGCGGGGCGACCAGGAACTGCCAGTGCTCAGGAGTAGCACCAACCCCGACCGCCTGTCCTTTCACCTGAACGCCCTGGCCCCGGGGGACGGCGGCCTCTACACCTGCCGCTACCGGCTGAGCAACGCGCGGAGCGCCTGGTCCTCGGACAGCGCGCCCGTCGAGCTGCTGCTAAGCAACGGTGAGCCCTGTGCGGGGGACGAGGGGCGCGAGGGGGCCCGGAAGTGCAGGCTCTGGGCCGGGGTCCAATCGCGGCCTCAGTTTCCCCAACTGAGAATGGGACCTCGAGGCCCCGCGAGGAATAATTGGGTCAACACGCAAGACTGGCACAGCCTATGCAGGCGCCACTAGCCCGGGGTCCCCTCCAGCCCCCGGGTGCCTGTCGAGGGCGGCGAGGCTGGGGGCTGCAGGCCCCGCCGAGGACGCGGACGGGGCGTCGGCCCCAGGAGAGGATCCTCCGAGCGCACGCCCTGGGCTGGATGACAAAACACGACCCCTCCCCACGTCTGTCTCTATAGACGTTAATAAGGGCTGTGTGTGAGCGGAGGGAGCGGGGGTAGGGTGGGGCGGCCTATTTCGGGCCGAAGGCTCAGCGGGGCCCACACGTGAGGTTGGAGCAGGCGTTGGGTGCAGCCTCCGGTCCCCGCGCCGGGTCAGCCGCATCCTCCCCGCAGAGACGCTGCCGGCGCCCGAGCTCCTGGCGGATCCGGCAACCCCGAGCCCCGCGGCCGGCGCGCGAGTGGAGCTGCTGTGCCGGGCTCCCCGGGCCGGCCTGCGCTTCGCCCTGGTGCGCGAGGACGCGGGCGGGCGCCGGGCGCTCGAGGTTCTGAGCCCCGAGGGGACCGAGGCCAAGTTCGAGCTGCGCGACGTCTCGGTGGCGGACTCGGCCAACTACAGCTGCGTCTACACGGACCCCGCGCCGCCCTTCGCGGGCTCGGCGCCCAGCGCGCCCCTGGAGCTGCGCGTGCGCGGTGAGCGGGGCCCCTGCTTGGTCGTCCCCGTCAGGGCCACGCGTGACTCTCCCGTGTCCCCGGGGGCTGTCTGTCTCTCCGATGTCCCCACCGAGGTCCCCGCGGGGCAGAGCAGGGGGCGCAGTCCCGCCTCCAGACCGTGTTCTGTGGTGCCCTCGGCCGGGAACGAGTTTCCCTCGCTCGTTTCTTTCTTCCCTCCCCTGTTCTGAGGCCCTGAGTGCCAGACGCCGGGGGCCCCGGGGGTCTCAGGGCGGATGCGGGGGTCCCGGGGGTCTCAGGGCGGGGCCGAGTCGGAGGAACTCGCAAGGCCTTGGGGAAGGAGGGGACGCGGTGACAGACACAGACGCCCAGGGGCCGTGAGCACGCTGAGGGCAGCAGGCCGGGCTCTGGCGGGGGAGGCGCCGAGGGGGCCGGGCAGCTGCTGCCCGAGGCAGGACCTCCCTTGACTGCCCGGCGCTCCGCCCAGGACCCCCTCCCAGGCCGCAGCTCCGGGCCCTGTGGAGCGGGGCAGTGACCCCGGGCCGCGATGCCACGCTGCGCTGCGCGGGCCAGGTGCCCAGAGTCACCTTCGAACTGCTGCGGGCAGGCGACACGGTGGCGTCCACGGCCTGGGCCGACGGCCGCTCGGCGGACCTGGTGCTGACCTACGTGGGGCCCCAACACGCCGGCAACTACAGCTGCCGCTACCGAGCCTGGTGGCCCAACTCCTTCGTGTCCGAGCTCAGCGACCTGGTGGAGCTCCGGGTGGCAGGTGGGCTTCCCCTGGGTTCTGTGCGCTGGGTTCCTCCTCCCGCTTGGCCCAGATTGTGCCCCTTCCCTGCCCCTCCTCCCAGCGCACTGGTTCGTGTGCCTTGCCCGCTGGGGTGGGGGTGGGGGTCTTGGCTGGCAGGTGACCAAGCCACTTCCCTCCTGAGGGGCCTCAGTGAGGTCCGCCCTGATTTCACAGGGAGGAGGGCCCCGGACATCTCCCTCCCCTCCATCTCTGTTGTGTCGAATTTGTCTAGGAAGTTGACCCAGCTGCAGACCCAGGCTGCCGATGGTATCCTTGAGAAGTACTTTCTCCAGTCTGGTTTGGATCCTTCTTGCCGCAGCTGGAGGCCAGATTCCCCCTTGGGCCTGGAGGGCTCTCTCTCATTCCTCCCAGGAATTAATAAATGTGAAGAGAGCATTTAAAAGGTGTTCTTGGCCAATGGTGGCCCGACGCGGGGGGGCTGGGATCCTGGGTGCTGAAGGTGGACGGGCTCCAGGTGGGATCCTGAGGGTAGAGGGGCCAAGGCTTGGCTCCTGGGCCCACATTTTTCAAGATCCCCTTCTGCCTCTTAGTCCCCAGGCACCTCTGCCAGGTCCCCAGCAGGTGTGGGTAGGTAGCTTGAGGCTCCAGACTTTTTTTTTTTGAGCGTACAAACTACCACCTGGCTTTATTGCTCAAAATGCAAGCTCAACACTGAGCATAAACAAGGACCACGAGAAGGCAGAGTCCAAACTAGGGAGGTGGGAGTGGGCCCTGGTGGCCAAGCCAGCTCAGCCCCCTGCACCACCTGGACAGATGTTCCTTGCAAGGTGGGACACCCCCCCCCCCCAGGGAGACAGGGTCCCAGCTCCGGGACTGCTTGGCTACACTCACTGGGAACCTCAGTGAGTGACCTGCCCACTCTGGCCTGTGACCGATGGGTTGGAGGGCTCTTCCATGTCTACCGGCTCTAGGGCCCGCCCAACACCGGCCAGGTTCCTCACAGGGTGGAGGTGTGACCCCCTCTCCTCCTACAACAAGGAAACCCCCATCCTCGAGGCCCCTGTGGCTGCAGCAGGAGGGCTGGGCAGAAGTGATCCCAGAGCCCACTCTCTGTCAGTCTAGCCAGGGGCTTCTCAATTTTATTAATCTTTTCAAGGAACTAATTAACTTTTTGCTTGCTCATTTTTTCTCTATTTTGTTGATCTCTACTTGTATCATTACTATTTGCTTCCTTCTACTTACTTCTGAACTAATTTGTTGTTTGTCATTTTCTTCAGGTGGAAACTTAGATCATTGCTTTTTTGGGGTAAACATCAGTAACAGCTTAATGTTAGGCTTAAAAATAGGTTTGTATTGCTTAAATCATAGGAAATTACTTCTTTGTGGATAAAAAAGGTCAAATATTGGCACCTTTGTCAATTACATCCAGTTGGTTGATGGTGTTGCTCAGTTCTTCTGTATCCTTACTGATTTTCTGTCTCCTTGTTCTATTGATTCTGGAGAGGGGTGTTGAAGTCTCCAACTATAGTTGCGAACCTGTGTATTATTTCCTATCAGTTCTCTCAGTTTTTGCTTCCCGTATGTTAAGGCTCTGTTACTAGGTACATGTGTATTTGGGATTGTTGTGTCTTCTTGGTAAATGACCCTCCATCGGTACGTGCTGTCCCTCTTTATCCCTGGTCCTTTCCTTGTTCTGAAGTCTCCTCATATGACAGTATACAGGTGCTCCAGCATTCCTCGATTCGTTTTTGTATTCTGTATCTTTCTCCACCCTTTTACTTTTAAATTACCTGTATTGTTATATTTAAAGTGGGTTTCTTATTTTTCTAAAATTCATTCTGGCAAATTCTTTTAATTGGTTTGTTTAGACCATTTACCATGTAATAGAATTATTGATACCTTTGGATTTGGGTCTACCTCCTTTTTTTTTTTAATAATTTTATTTATTTATTTGATTTCCCCCCAAAGCCCCAGTAGATAGTTGTATGTCATAGCTGCACATCCTTCTAGTTGCTGTATGTGGGACGCGGCCTCAGCATGGCCAGAGAAGCAGTGCATCAGTGCGCCCCCGGGATCCGAACCCGGTCCACCAGCAGCGGAGCGTGCGCACTTAACCGCTAAGCCATGAGGCCAGCCCTACCTCCTTTTTTGTTTTCTATTTGTTCCTTCTGTGATCCCTGTTTTCCTTTTCCTGCCTTCTTGTGGGCTCTGCTTTCCTTTTCCTTAAATGCTTTCTGGAGTTCCATTTTATTTCATCTATTGAGTTTTTGATCATCTCTTTGTATAGTTGTTTTTAGTGATTTCTCTAGGGATTACAATATGTATACTTAACTCTTCACAGTCTACCCAGAATTAATATTTTACCACTTGAAGTGGAATGGAAAAGCTTTGTCACTACACAGACCTCTTTATCCTGCCCTCTTTTTTTTAAATTTTATTTTGTACACTAATGGTTCTTCTTTGAGATATAAGTTATATACAGTAAAACGTACAAACCTCAACTACATCGCTAACTGGATCTTGAACCCCTCTCCTCTTTGCGTTGTAGTTGTCGTATATACATCAATGTACAGTGAAACCCTCCCTGACAAGTTATCAATTTTGCTCTCGACAGCCGTACATATGCTAAAGATCAAATATCTGTAATCAGTTACTCTTCCTTCGTTCTCGAAGTTTCAGTTTTCCTTATGCTATCATTTCCCTTCCCGCAAAATACCTCCCTGTAGCGTTTCTCTTAGAGCAGGCCTGCTGGCCACAGACTGTCTTAGTTTTGCTTTGAGAATGTTTCGATTTTGCTTTCATTCTTCAAGTGTATTTTCGTTGGATATAGAATTCTGGATTGACAGCCCCTTTTTCAGCACTTTAAAAATGTTGTTTCTCTGCTTTCTGGCCTTAATGATTTCTGATGAGAAACCCATGATCTTTTGTATCAATCTGTATATGATGGGTAGTTTTTCTCATGCTGTTTTCAAAATTTTTTAATTTGTTTTTAGTTTTCAGCAGTTCGGCTATGATATGTCTGGGCATGGATTTCTATGAGATTATGCTGTTTGGGTTCACTGAGCTTTCCAAACCTGTAAGTTTATACCTTTTGGTAAATTTGGATAATTTCCAGGCATTATTTCCTCAAATATTCTTTCTGCTGTCATCACAAAGAATGTGGCAGCATTTCCAACCACACTTATGGTTCCATCAGTTTCTCACTGTGATTCTGTCCCATAGTAAGGCTCTTATGACCTGTCTGGTTTAAAACTATTACATCTTCCTAATACATTGTCCCTTTTATAAAAATAGAATAATTCTCTGACCTTAGTAATGCTTTTCTGCGTTAACCTCCATTTTGTCTGAAGTTAATGTACCTCCATTGGCTTCTGTCAGCCTCGGGCCTGCCTTGGACATCCTCTCCTCTTCCTTCACCTTCAGCTTTTCCATTTAGAGAAGAGGTGTGTTTCTCCCAAAGAACATACGCCTGGATGTGAAAGAAATTCCATCTGTTAGTATTTGTCTTACCTGGTTTGTGAGTACACCAGTGCTTTGACATTGCTGACGTGTTTGGATGTGCTCTCACATCCGTGCTTCCAGGCCTGGCGGTGTAAACTGGGCTGGTCACCTACGCCCTCCAACCTCTTGTCCTCTCCTCTGTAAAATGGGATGGTTGTCCTGCCCTCAGTGTTGTGTGAGGATTAAGGAGATGATGTATATAAATTATTTGGCAGACTGGCCAACACACGTAGGCCCTTAATAAAGATTCCTTTTTTCCCCTGACTACCTCCCCCTTTAGACAGACACGGGCAGACACGTATTTCATGAAAAAATGGGTGCTGGAGATGCTCAGAGTGCTGGGGGAGGGAGAGTCCGCTCCTCAGTGACAGAGGCGGGGAGAGCGAGGGCAGAGAGAGGTGGAGGTGGACGCTACAGGTCGGCGCCAGTGGCCAGGCCCTGGTCAGGTGCTGCACAAGGCAGGTCTTAATATTCCGCTTCCCAGATGAGCAGTCACTGAGGTTCGGGGAAGTCACTTATCCAGGGTCCTAGAAGCAGTGCCGGGAGGAGTGGGCTCGGCAGCCTGATGTCGGGCCCACGTCTTCTCCGCTCCCTGCAGCCTGTCAGAGGCCCATGCGATCACCTCACTGCGAACGTGTCTCTCTCGTCACTGTTTGTCCCTGTCAGTCGACTTTCGCTCAGTCTCACCCTCGGCCGCACTGTGTGTGGCAGTCAGTCGGCCTGCGTCCGGGTGTGTCTGGGACCCTCAGAGACCCAGACACAAGACCTCTGTCTCCCTGGGTCTCAACCTTCCTGTTCTGAACCTCACTCCTCGGTCAGTCTTGGTGTCAGTGTTTACTGGAGACAGAGAGGGAACGAGTCTGAGACACAGGAGGAACCGGGAGGGATGGTGTGTCGGGTCAGCTGGTTCACACACAATGGGATCGTCAGAGAAATAGAGAAAGAAGACTGACGCCCTGACGGTTAGGAACAGAGGCTATGACCTCCGGTTACAGACGTGGACCCTGAAAGCGGGCCAGGGGTACAGAACTGTGACAGAAGGCCAGGGGGCACACTGACAGGACGCTGGCATCACCGAGCCCACGGCACCAGGGGGCTCTGGGGCCACAAAGGGCAGACTCAATACAGTAGCATTTTATTGAGGCCACTGCATGTCAGGCTTTTCTGAGTACTGGGCCCTGAGGAAATCAGACCGCCCCCGCCCCGCAGGGCCCACAGCTGCAGGGAGACAGTGCAGGGCCGAGCATGGCAGCTGCCTCCGAGAAGGCACCACAGCACATTCATCCAACAGACATGGATCAGGGCCTCCTGTGTCCTGTGTGCTGTGGATGCTGAGAATAAGACATGGCCCTGCTTGTGGAAGCTCAGTGTCCTTGGGAAGCAGACTGCGAGCTCTGCAGGGAGTAAACCCAACATGGCAAGAGGCGTGAACGAGGTAAGGAGGAGGCTCTGGAGCAGGCAGGGCAGGCTGACGTCGGCTCGAGGAGGTGAGCATGCTTTGTTGGGAAGGAGATTTGAAACATCTTGGAGGAAAGCAGAGAGGCGGGTTCCAGGCACAGGTACGAAGGCACGTAGGCGGGAAACAGTATGGCTTCTTCAGGAATCAGATGTAGTTCCACGTGGCTGGTGAAGGGAAGGTGGGACCACGGAGGGAGATGAGGCCAGGTGCTGGGTCACGAGCGAGCATGAACGGCAGGTGAATATCCCATAGGGCAGTACTTTGAGACCATGTTCACATCATTGCACACCCAGAAAAATGACAATATTCATATGCACATACGAGGATCACTGGAGAGGCTGCTTGGGGCCCAAAGCATCTTAGATCTTGGCAGACGTGTAACCCACTCAGGAAGCTCTGCTGTGGAAGGTGACGCATTGGAGAGCTTTCCAGCACAGAGTGACACCATCAGATTTGGGTTGTCAAAAGAGCCCCCTGGAGGCCGGTGTGGAGAATGAAACAACGGAGGGTAGGGGTGGAGAATGAAGGTAGAAAGGGGTCAGGAGGAGACCCCGGTGGGAATCCAGATGAAAGGCGACGAGGGCTCACATGAGGTGACGATGGTGGAGAAGATGGACTAGAGGTGAGTTTTAGGTAAAACCAACAGGGCTGATGACCTGTGGGATGTGGAAGGAGGCGGGAGGGAGAAACAGGTGCCCTGCAAGTGTCAAGCCACGCCCTCGACTGAGACAGGGAAAATGTGAGAGACCGCGGGTCCGGAGAAGGCCTCATGGAAGAGGCAGCCTCACAAGTCGGCCTTGGAGTTAGACATGAACAGGTGGGGTGAAAGGCAGGTGTGAAGGCACAGAGGCAGGCGTGGGCAGGCGGCCCTCCCGGGCTGAGCAGGAAAGGAACTGGCAAGAAGAGCAGCCACGTGGGGATGTGAAGTTGGAGCACCTCTGCCCAGAGCATCTTGGGACCACCGAGTCCTGAGAGAAACTTCACCCTGATCGCCCCAGCTCTGAGGCCTCCATCCGGGTCCCTAAAGGCAGAGTTGTTCCCAGACAGACCCAGAGTCTGCCCTCAAGCACCTTATCATTTGGGGGGACTCATCGATCACCCACCCCATTACTCTGGGCTCTTCCGGAACTCAGGGCTCCTCTCAGGTTGAGCCTTGATGGGAGGCTGTGCCATGTCCCAAGGGCTCTCTCTGGTCACTGCAGCACCGTGATGTGGATCCTCAGGTGGACCATGAGGGCGGAGCTGCGGCTGAAGGCCTTCCCACAGTCGCGGCACTTGTAGGGCTTCTCGCCCGTGTGGGTCCTCTGGTGCTCAATGAGGGAGGAACTCTGTGCAAAGGCCTTCGGACAGGCCTTACACTGATAGGGCTTCTCTCCGGAGTGGATTCTCTGATGGCGGATTAGGGCAGAGCAGTCGCTGAAGGCTCGCCCACAGGCGGCGCACTTGTAGGGCTTCTCCCCGGTGTGGATGCGCTGGTGCTGGGTCAGGTGGGTGCTCTGGCTGAAGGCCTTGCCGCACTCGTCACACTCATAGGGCCGCTCCCCCGTGTGCACCCGCTGGTGCTGGGTGAGGTGGGTGCTGCGGCTGAAGGTTTTGCCACATTCCCCGCACTTGTAGGGCTTCTCCCCGGTGTGGATCCTCTGGTGCTGGGTCAGGTGGGTGACCCGGCTGAAGGCCCTCCCACACTCCTTACACTCATGGGGCTTTGCCCCCGTGTGGATGACCTGGTGCTGGGCCAGGTGGGTGCTCCGGCTGAAGGCTTTCCCACACTCACTGCAGGTGTAGGGCGTCTTCCGAAAATGGCTCTTCCGGTGTGCCTCAAGGGCCGAGGGGCTCCGGAACAGTTTCCCACATCCGCCACACTTGGAGGACTTCCTCCCTGAGTCCTTGCACGGAGGCTCTGTCCCACAGCCATCCAATGGATCGAATTTCTCTTCTGAAAGAGTCTTCTCTTGCAAGGTGAAGTCTGGCCACACGCCGGGACTATTCCCCAAGGTACCAGATTCACAACCGGGCTGCTCTGTGGAGGTGTCCTTGTGAGGCCCTGAAGTGTCCCTGAAATCCATCTCATGGGCAACAGACTTTGTCCAGACCTCCCCTGAGAGTCCCGCCCGCCTCTCTGAGTTGCCCTCGGCTTCACAGGCATCACCAAAGGCGGGTCCCGGGGAGTCACCGCCCGCGAGGGCTTCAGTGGCCTCGTCTGATGGCTCTGACTCTTCGGAATCGCTCTGCTTACAGCTGGCCTCGGAGAGCTCAGCTCCCGGCTCCCATCCTGAAACGATCCGAACGACAGCGTCAGCCTTCTTTCCACCCCAGGCCTCCCCCACTCTGCAGGGGCCAGGCCTTGCTCTGCAAGGGGAGAGCTGGGCCACTGCTGACACCTGGCCCCATTTCCAAAGGAAAGTTTCTCGTCTGGTGTCTTAGACAGCAAAAGGGCACAGGGCTGTCCTCCCACAGCATCAAAAACTGCATCACAGTTTCCGATCCCCACACCCCAAACTCTCCATTCTTCAAGGCTCCTGATTTTGGCTCAAGTGTCAGAAGGAAAACCCTGAGGTTGAACTGATCTGCAAGAGAGAGAGATCAAGAGAGGATGCAAGGGATCGAGGGAGGGGGTGAGGGTCAAGAGAGGTCGAGGCGGGTTGAGGGGGAGCTCCATCCCGCACGCGGCGAGCAGCCTCCCCTCCGGGCCTGACGGCTTGGCATGTGCTCAGTAAGTACCGGCTCAATGAGGGAATCAACCCCGGAGGCCGGCGTTGTGAAATTTTCCACAATAGACACTACCTTGAACCCCAAGTAGACACCTGCTGCTGTGGCGAGTGGGTGACGCGCCCACCTGGCCTGCCCGAGCCCCCAGAAGGCTGTGAAGGCAGAGCTGGCTCGGCAGCCGGAGCCTGGGCTTGTACGAGGTGAGGGCCTGCCCGCCCGACCTCCCCTTGATGGTGTCCGGGGCACCGAGGACCCTCACTTGGCATGGTTCATGGGACAGAGTCTGGAAGGAGGCGGAGGGGTGGAGTGACTGCTGCCCGAGCCCTCAGTGCGGCCCCAGCTCCAGGGCCCTGGGCAGTCTTGCCCTCCTCTGGGCCTCAGTTTCCTCATCTGTAAGAGAGGGATACTATACTGGGCTGCTTGCCATTATCAGGCTCCTGTTATGTGCTCGGCTCCAAGCGCAGCGGGTAACTTCCATTGCCTCATTTCAGCTTCACTCTGCTCTCAGAAGAAGGTAGGGCCACGACTGCACTTCAGACAAGGGGGCTGAGGCCCAGCTGAGGGAGGGTCTTGGGTAACTGATACAAGATCACATGATTAGCTCAGAGAGGTTGAGTAACCTGTACAAGATCATACAGTTAGCTGATGGCCACATTGGGATTTCAGCTCTAGCATCTGCTCCTCCTCCTCTAGGCCCACTGTCCTCCCCTCACTCCCAAACTCCCCAGCCCCATGCTGGGTCCTGCCTCTCCTTTTCTTCCTCTATTTCTTCCTCTATCTAGAAACATCCCACTACCTGCTCTTCCCAGAATGCACCAGTCCATATCACACCACCGGGCCTTGGCCCCACCTTTCCCTCTGCCTGGACCGCTGGCTCTTTCTCGTCATTTCAGCATGGTTTTGCCTTTTCTCTGAAGACTTTGTTGACCCTGCAAGAGGATGGGACCACTCTCTCCCTCCCCACCCTGACCCTGCGACATCTGCATGGGCATAGCTGATGGGGCCAAGGGAGGCCACCTGACCAACCTCTTCTAGAAAGGTCTGTTTCTCAAGGAGCTGGACAACTTGTCCTAACAGCTACCATTACCGCATGTCACTCTGTGGCAGGCACCATCTCACCTGCTGCACAGGTGCTGCCTCCTTTATACCCCTCCGTGACACTGGGGTACGTATTGCACTACGGTCCCCATTACTGACAGGGAAACTGTGGGACAGAGTCACACAGCCAGGAGGAGGCGGAGCAGTGGCTGGATCTCCCAAGCCTCGAGGGATTCTTCTGTGTCCAAACTCCATGTTCCTCTCACCCACTCTCCCTGGAGCCTGGCACACCCACCCCACCACCTACTACCATCAGGCTGGGCCGGGCTGGGCCTTTCCAGGAGGAGCCTTCACTCCTGCTCTGGACTGTCCCAGCGTCTTCTCCGCGACCCACGGGACCTCCTGGGGCTAGGACATCCATGTGGGTCTTACAGTCTATGTGGGACATCTGTGTGGGTCTCCGGCCTGAGGCAGGTCTGACCCACCCAGATCCTGAAAGCCAGCACGGGGAGGGCTCAGAGGGGGTGCATGGGGACACCTGGCGTCTCTGTCCCTACCCCACCTCAGGCATCTGGCCCCCTCATCTGGTTCCAGCAGCTTTGTTTTCCTTTGGGGAACTGCCCTTGCTCATGTCAGTCCCTGGGATCTGGGCAGCCAAAGACAAGCACAAGACTGGGCAGGTTGAGGGGGCCTCAGCCCGGGGACCTTCTGCTGTTCTCCCCCTGGTGTTTCTACGTTGTAAGACACAAGCCTGGCACTGCTGGGCCACTTTGTCTCCCTTGCAGAGAGAAGCTACTTAAGAAGGAAGCTAACGTAGGGAAGCCCAACTTCCCTGATCACAGAGTCCTGATGCCGTCAACCGAGCTTCTGGATATAGTCGTGAAGCCTCCCTACTTTGCTTCAGTGGGTTTGAGCTGGGCTTTTTGTCTTTAGCAGTCAGAACAGACCTGCTAGGCACAGCGTGTGAGAGTTTGGGTGAGGTACAAACGTGAGAACAGGGCGTGGGCGACCCCAAACTCAAACCCCCCACCGCACTGTTCCAGTCCAGACCCTGCCCCAGTGTGCCGGGAACACCTGCCCGACGCTCTCCCTCACCTCTCTTGTCCAGTGTCTGAGTCAGATCCTCCACCAGCACAGCAGCCTCCTCGCCGCTCTTGGGGCACTGGGCCCCCACCCAGGACTGAATCTTGGGGGGCAGGGCGCCCAGGAACTGCTCCAGCACCAGCAGCTCCAGCATCTGCTCCTTTGAGTGCTCCTCAGGCTGCAGCCACTGGCGGCACAGTTTGCGGAGCTGGGCCAGGGCCTCATGTGGGTTGGATGCCTCCTCATAGCAGAAGCGCCGGAAGCGCAGGCGTGCAGCCTCGGGGTGGGCAGTGTGGCCAAGGCTAGGTTCCTGGCCCTGGGAGAGGCTGGCCTCCTCATCCTCCACCTTCACTCGTAGGAAGCCATCCTGTTCCCAGGGCACCAGGCTCAGGGGGCTCTTGGGGACGGCCATCAGGCAGCAGCGCTCCAGTGAGACACGAGATGGCTGGAGCCTGGGAACTGGGTCTGCAGGAAGGTCAGAACTTCGTCATCATGTGGAACTTGGGGCCCTCCCTTACGCCTGCAGAGCAGGGCAGATGTGGGCTTGGGGCCTGTGAGACGTGCCTCCCTCTCACACAGACATGGGTGATCAAAGTAATCAGGATGGCACTGCTCTAAATGCTCGCATATAGTAACTCATTTAAAATTCACAACAGGGCCGGCCCCGTGGCTTAGTGGTTAAGTGCGCGCGCTCCGCTGCTGGCGGCCCGGGTTCGGATCCCGGGCGCACACTGATGCACCGCTTCTCTGGCCATGCTGAGGCCGCGTCCCACATACAGCAACTAGAAGGATGTGCAACTGTGACATACAACTATCTACTGGGGCTTTGGGGGAAAAATAAATAAAATTATTTTTAAAAATTTAAAAATAAAATAAAATAAAATTCACAACAAACTCGGGAGGTGGGAACTTTCTTTCCATTTTATGGATATGAAAACAGACACAACAGAGGAGATGTGCCCCAAATTCCCCAGATAGTGAAGGGATGGGCGGTTGCTGAGCTGCAAACCCAGGCGGTCTGACCTTGTGGCCAGTCGGCGTGAGGGGCACTCCTCCCACAGAGCTAGCTCTCTCTCCCCTCTCACACACTCCCCAGGGAGTGGCATGATCAACCCCTCACTTTATTTGCTAATTATTTTGTAGCTTTTGAGATGGGTACTTAGATAATTGACTTTCAGCTTTTCTTCTTTTCTAATACATATATTTAAGGGTAAAAATTTCCCTCAACATAGCTTTAGCTGCACATTCACAAGTGCAATGTTGCATCTTTATTATTATTTAGTTCAAAATATTCTATAATTTCTGTTGTGGTTTCTTCCTGACCCATGGGTTATTTAGAACTCTGCTGCTTCATTTCCAAACAATTTGGGGTTTTCTAAGTGTCTTTTTATTATTGATTTCCAGATTAAGTCTGTTGTGCTCAGAAAATGTGCTTTGGTCAATTTCAATCCTTTGAAATTTGCTGAGACTTTGTTTGTGAGCCAATGTATGGTTGATTTTGGTCAATGTTCCACACACACTTAAAAATAATGCGAAGTCTTCTTAGATAAGTAACAAAGGATAAAACAGATAAACTGGACATCATCAAAATTTAAAACTTGTGATTTGAAGGACACTCTCAAGAAAGTGAAAAGGCAACCCACAGAATGGGAGAAAATATTAGCAAATCATATATCTGATAAGGGACCTGTATCTAGAACAACTCCAATAATAAAAACACAACCCAATTGAAGAATGGGCAAAGGATTTGAATACACATTTCTCCAAAGAAGGTATTTAAATGGCCAATAAGCACATGGAAAGATGCTCAACATCTTTAGGTACTAGAGAAATGCCAATCAAACCCACAGTGAGACACCACTTTCCACCTGCTAGGATGGCTATAATCAAAAAGACAGATAATAAGCGTTGGACTTGGGCACAGGGAGAAGTGAAAGTTAGTAAAACAAGACAGCAACTTGCAGCGAAGCTGTGTTCTAGCTCCTAACTCCGCTGTAAAGCTCACTTCGACCTCTTGTCACCTTGCCCATGCCATTATCCCCATTCCTCTCAGCCTCTGTCCCTGTTATTCTCTTGTCCTAAAATCCCTCTCTGCATCTGACTAATTTCTCCTGGTCTGCCAGGCCCCACTGTAGTGGCCATCTTCTCCAAGAGCCGTCCCAGCACCTGGGAGCGGGCTAAGTATCCTTCCGAGTGCCCTTGGTCTCTCTTGCCCCAGCTCTGTGCTGTAACCATGTTTCCCCAGAGGGACTGGGCACGCCAGAGCCACAGTGCCTGGGGCCCGGCCTACAGCAAGTGCCCAGTAAACAGGTGCTGAGCAAACGGAGGGACCAGGAAAGGCTGAGCATGGTCATCCACAGATGCGGGGAGGCGTTGTACAGGGGAGGGGGAGCAGGGGTGGCAGGGATGACAATAAATGCAGCGACAGCTTCCAAGCTCCCTTTTGCACCCCTGGAGCCCCTATTCTGGAAAATCCCTGATGATAGTCTCTGAAAAATACATACATGGACCTACCTAGGCCCACTCCCAACATGCTGACCTCACATCAGGTCGAGGTCCCCCCGTCCATGACTCCTCAACCAATTGAGGAGACCGGTCCTTTCATTTCTCACTCCTTACTTGTATCGATCTGATAACAGCACCTACCTCAGAGCGTTGCTGCGAGGTTACCCAAGGCGATCCACAATGGGCGTCCAGTACAGGCCTGGCACACAGCAAACATGTGGTAAACGCCCAATCTGATGCCTCCATAGCCCCCTGCCAGACTTAAGCCTGCAGAAGGCGCTGGGGGACATATCCATAAGCACACAGCAAAGCACAAATGCTTTGTCACATGCCTGGTGAACTCTCTGCAAGTGACCCAAATTTCAGTCCCTCTGACAAAATCTCAATCACGTTGTTATACGCACCCTATCTCAGGCACGGTCTGTCAGTCATACCCCAAAATATACCCAGGCACACAAACTTTCTGAGTGTCACCCATAGTCAGTCAAATAAACACAGGCCCTCACAGCATCTCCATCACACGGTATCACTCCGACAGTCATTCATCATCATTCAGTCACCATCTCACCCAGTCAGATCCACGGAGCCTCCCAATCACACCTGAAATCACACATAGGCAGTCACCTACCCACGCTCTCACTCCCAATATCACACAACCCACCTACAAATTCTCAGTCAAACAACAACCATCTCCGCCAGTCGCACACTGGATCGGGTCATTTGATCACACACTCCCAACCTGTCAGTCAGAAACGCACAAGATGAGTCAGATATACAGTCTGTCAGACACATACACACAACTGGTCAGTCAGTTGGTCCACATTTGATGAGTTAGTTCTACACTTCGTCTGTCCGTCGGTCCCACACTCTGTCTGTCAGTTCGTCTCACACTAGATCGGTGGGTCCCGCACTCACAGTCCGTCAGTCGATCCACGCGCGGTCGGTCCAGTACATCTCGCTCGGGCCACCGCACCTTCGCGGCTTCGAGGCCTGCGGTGCTCCTCTCCGGCCCCGACCCCGGCGGGACCCCACCCAGACCCACCTCACCCCAGGGGCGGGCTGACACTTCCGGAAGCGGACGCCGAGGTGCGGGAGTGACCACCCCTCCGATGCACCCGCTCATCGAAACCACAACTCCCATGATGCACCGCGCTGCCCACTGGGCGCGCCGGCCCGCAGGGACCACAACTCCCAGCATGTCCCGCGTCTCATGTTCCACGGCCTGTGCGACCTCCCACCTGGACTACAATTCCCAGAAGGCGCCGCGTTCCACCACCCCCACCACCCCGGCCGCCCCGAGCATCCCCTGGCACGCTGGGAGTTGTAGTCTGGGTGGGCTCGTGCGCCGTGGGGACTGCGGACCGGGCTTGTGGGGTAGTGGTGGCGGTTAGTGGGGGGTGCAGCCAGAGGGAGTGAGGGTGGCGAAACTGTGTATGATGCGTGGGGGTGAGGAATGTGTGAGGGGGTGTGGCCTGAGGGTGCTGGTGTGAGGGGTGTGAATGCTGTGTGAGGGGTGTGGGATGTGGGTGTCGGTGTGAGAGGGTGAGGGGTGTATGAGTGGTGTGGGTGCCAGCTTGAGGGGGTGAGGGGGGTGTGTGCCAGCGTGAGGGGGCGAGGGTTGTGTGTGCCAGCGTGAGGGAGTGAGGGGTGTGTGAGGGGTGTGTGTGCCAGCGTGAGGGGGTGAGGGGTGTGTGAGGGGTGTGGGTGCCTGCGTGCGGGAGTGAGGGGTGTGTGAGGGGTGCGTGTGCCAGCGTGAGGGGGTGAGGGGTGTGTGAGGGGTGTGTGTGCCAGCGTGAGGGAGTGAGGGGTGTGTGTGCCAGCATGAGGGGGTGAGAGGTGTGGGTGCTAGCATGAGGGGGTGAGAGGTGTGGGTGCCATCGTGAGAGGGTGAGGGGTGTGGGTGCCAGTGTGAGGGGGTGAGGGGTATGTGAGGGGTGTGGGTGCCAGTGTGAGAGGGTGAGGGGTGTGTGTGTGTGTCAGCGTGAGCGGGTGAGGGGTGTGTGAGGGATGTAGGTGCCAGCATGAGGGAGTAAGGGCTGTGTGAGAAGTGTGGGTGCCTGCGTGAGGGAGTGAGGGGTGTGTGAGGGGTATGTGAGGGGTGCGTGTGCAAGTGTGAGGGGGTGAGGGGTTTGTGAGGGGTGTGGATGCCAGCGTAAGGGAGTGAGGGGTGTGTGAGGGGTGTGGGTGCCAGTGTGAGGGAGTGAGGGGTGTGTGTGCCAGCGTGAGCGGGTGAGTGGTGTATGAGGGATGTAGGTGCCAACGTGAGGGAGTGAGGGGTGTGTGAGGGGTGTGGGTGCTAGCGTGAGGGAGTGAGGGGTGTGGGTGCTGGTGTGATGGGGTGAGGGGTTTGAGTGCCTTTGTGAGGGGTGTGTGTCACGTGTGTAGTGTGTGTGGCTCACTAACCATGTATGGGTGATTCCACATGTCTATCCTGTGTGACTGTATGTGACCTGGAGGTTGGGCTGCATGTGTCACTCTCTGCGACCACCTGTGTGGGTAGTTCTGTGCGTGTGAGACCTGTGTGTTAGTCACCATACGTGATAATGGTGTATCTGTGTGTGGCTGTCACAATGTGTGATGGTGTCTGTGAGACAGTCATGGAGGTGATGGGGAGGGCCTGACATTCTATGATGGTCATAGGAGGTCCCAGACTTTCTATGATTATACTGTATGTTGTACAGTGACTGTGATTGTGATCATGGGTGGGATTGTGTGACACAGTGGATGCCAAGATGTGTGATTGAGTATGAGAACTTGTCCTCTGTGTGTGCATATGGGTGTGTGAGAGATTTTGAGCAGGAGACTCTGGCTGGGGGCCCAGGACAGGGAGCATGGTGGCCCAGCCTGCGTGCAGATGTGGCATTGAGGGAGGAGGTGCTGTGTGGGTCTGGGCTGTGCTTGTTGGCCTCAGCCTCTGACCATGTCCCCTGCAGCTCCTCAGAAACTTCCCTGTAGGGGCCGGCCTGGTGGCGCAAGCGGTTAAGTGCGCGTGCTCCGCTGCGGCAGCCCGGGGTTTGCCGGTTCAGATCCCGGGCGCGCACCGACGCACTGCTTGGCAAGCCATGCTGTGGCGGCGTCCCATATAAAGTGGAGGAAGATGGGCACGGATGTTAGCCCAGGGCCGGTCTTCCTCAGCAAAAAAGGAGGAGGATTGGCAGATGTTAGCACACGGCTGATCTCCTCACAAAAAAAAAAGAAACTTCCCTGTGGCCAGAATGAGCACATTGTGTCTTGCTTCCACAGATACTTACTGAGCACCCAGTAGGGGCCAGTGCCATTCCAGATCGGATACTGCAGTGAAGAGGACAGGCATGGCCTGCCTCCATGGAGCTGATGTTATTGTGTGGGGAGACAGATGGTAATCAAAGAAACAAGCTAGTTCTCTGAGGAGTTGGCATATCAGCTGAACAGAGGGAAGGACTCAGGGAGAGTGTTTCAGGTAGATGGAACACAATTGCCAAGTCCCCGAGGTAAGTACAGGCAAGGAAGCCCAGCTGGAGTGGATTGAGGGAAGGAGGTGGGAGAGGACAGGTCAGGAAGGGGAGGGCTGTGGGGGCAGATCTTACAGGGCTTCTGGGCCAAGAATGGACTTTGACTTCTACCCTGAGAGAGGTGGGAGCCATGGGAGGCCTTTGAGCAGAGGAGGGCTGTGCTTGACTGAGCTCTTTGTAGGATTCCTCTAGCTGTTACAGGAGAAGACTGTTGGGGTGAGGGTAGAGGCAGGGAGATCCAGGAGGTGAAAGCTGCTAGAGACCTGGTGAGCAGAGCAGGTCAGATCTGGGTGGTGCAGGTAGAGGTGCCTATAAGTGGTCAAATATTGATCTGTTTTAAAGGTGGAGGTGACAGGGTTGGTGGGTTGAAATGCAGCATTGAAAGGGAGAGCAAGGCTGGCCTGGGAGCCTGAAGGTAGATCATGATCTTGGGGGGGTATGTTAGTTCACTAGGGCTGCCATAACAAAATATCACAGACCTCGTGGCTTAAACAACAGATATTTATTTTCTCACGGTTCTGGAGGCTGTAAGTCCAAGATTAAGGCGTTGGCAGTTTTGGTTTCTCCTGAGGCCTCTCTCCTTGGTTTGCAGATAGCCGCCTTCTTCTTGTGTCCTCACGTAGCCTTTCCTCATTGTGAGCACACCCCTGGTGTTTCTCCCTCTTCTTCTTCTTCTTTTTCGTTGTGAGGAAGATTGGCCCTGAGCTAACATCGTGCCCATCCTCCTCCATTTTGTATATGGGACACCGCCACAGCATGGCTTGATGAGTGGTGTCTTGGTCTGTGCCCAGGATTTGAACTTTTGAACCCTTGGCTGCCAAAGTGGAGTGCGCAAACTTAACCACTATGCCACCAGGCCAGCCCCTCTCTCCCTCTTCTTCTTCTTTTTTTTTTTTGTGAGGAAGATAAGCCCTGAGCTAACATCCCTGCCAATCCTCCTCTTTTTGCTGAGGAAGACCGGCCCTGAGCTAACATCTATTGCCAATCCTCCTCCTTTTTTTTCCCCCAAAGCCCCAGTAAATAGTTGTATGTCATAGTTGCACATCCTTCTAGTTGCTGTATGTGGGACGCTGCCTCAGCATGGCTGGAGAAGCGGTGCGTCGGTGCGTGCCCGAGATCCAAACCTGGGCCGCCAGTAGCGGAGCACACGCACTTAACCGCTAAGCCATGGGCCGGCCCCTCTCCCTCTTCTTATAAGGACACCAGTCATACTGGATTAGGGCCCACGCATATGACCTCATTTAACCTTAATTACCTCTATTTATTTATTTATTTGGTGAGGAAGATCTGAGCTAACATCTGTTGCCAACCTTTCTCTTTTTTTGCTTGAGGAAGATTAGCCCTGAGCTAACATTTGTGCCACAATTCCTCTATTTTTTTGTATGTGGGTCACTGCCACAGCATGGCCTGATGAGTGGTGTAGGTCGCCTGGGATCTGAACCTGGGAACCTCGGCCGCCAAAGCGGAGCATGCTGGACTTAACCACTATGCCGCGGGGCCAGCCCCCTTAATTACCTCTTTAAAGACCCTACCTGCAAATACAGGCACATTCTGAGATGTACTGGCGGTTAGGATGTTAACATAGGAATTGGGGGGGCACACAATTCAGTCCATAAGGAGGTGAAGGGGCATTGGTGTGAGTGTGGGGATACTTCCTGGGAATCTCCTGAGGAGGAGAAGGGAGAGAGAGGGCAGCAGCTGGAGGAGACTCATGTGCCTGGGAGGGCAAGAAGGAAGAGCCAGATTGACAGTTAACAGGTATGGGGTGACTTGGAAAGTCAGTGGAGGCTGTCCTCCATGCCTTCTTCTCTGCCC